ATCCCAATGCGGCCGGCCCTTGGGAAGTGTGCGGAGAGGCTTCTTGCAGCTTTGGCTCGCGGCGCGTCGGGGCTCCCGCGCCTTAACCCCTTTCCACTCGCGCGCAGCTTGTGGAGGACTCTGAGTACGCGCGCGTCATTTCTCTCTACTCGCGCGCCTACGAGCCTTCGTGCGCGCCCTATCTCAGCGCGTCTTGCCTTGGCGATTAAGCCCGAGTCACATGCCCAACAACTTCCTTTCTTGGCGCACAAGTAAGCTGTCCGCAAAACAGTCAAAAGGCAGCTTTCGTACTAACTTCGCCTTTTGTTCGAGGCCTTCCCGAACTCCAATTATTCATCCAATTCCTTCCCTTTGTTCACAAACATACCTAGTTTCATTTTGTGGAAGCCTTTGGACTTGAATCAGATCCATACTCCTAGAATTGAGCTCCAAACTAGGCTTCACAAAACAGTTTTCTGCCTTAGCCATTTTCTGGCAGTTTTCCAGTTTTGAGGTAGCAACTTTGAGGTCTTGGAAAACAACCTTAATGACATTATCTGGATCCAAAAAGCATACCATTGGAAACATGGCAACTTTATCTGCAAAACAAACCCTTGATCTCCAATTTCCATTGAACCATTTGTGAGATACAAGCTTCCAAAGTAGGCTACCTGAAACTGTTTCAACACTTAGCCAAAAGTCAGAATTCTTCAAGTGAGTTGAGATGACTTCTTTGGCAAGTAATTTTGAATTGGGGATTGATCCAATTGGGATCATATCAGGCTCCCCCTCTTCAAAAAGCTTTGACCTCAAAGCTTGAAGCTGCTTCTTGTCAAAAACGTCACAAAATTCTTCCCAAATCGAGTCACGAAATAGGTTCCTCGAACTTGTAATGTGGAACTTCAACACTTCATTAACTTGCCAATTATCTCCTGTTTCCCAAGATTTGAGCTGCATCACGTTGTGGGACTCCAATGGACTTTACACTCACAAAAATCGAATGAAATTTGACCCAGAATCGGCTCGTGCAATTTTTCGAACTCCGGCGAGAATTTTCCAGAATCCGGCGCCGGCGAGGTCTTCCAAATTGGGGTTTTCTTCTCAGGACCTCCCCGATCGAATTCTTTGCTCCTAATCGACTCATCTCGATCCCACAAATTGAACTCAACTACTCCCGTGCGTCGAAATTGAGTAAACCACCTCCAATTCAACTTCCCGTGCTTCCCGCCGTCGGGAAATTTGAAATTCCCAGATTCCGGTGAGCAGAACCCAGAATCCGGCGACACAAACCCAGATTCCGGCGAGATAAAACTCGAATTGGGCATTTTCAATTCTGCCATCTCCTCATCCAATTGACGATCCTCACACCTTCCTTGGACGCTTCTGAGCTTGCCCACAGTCGTCAATTGCTTCGATTCAATCCCAATCTCTCCAACCGATTCAACCTTCTCGTGCTCACTGTTCTTCGCGTTTTGGAACGAAAGTTCTGAATTGGGCGTTTTCGCCTCATCGTTCCCCGACCCAAATTGATCGTCATTATACGTTCCTGGGCTGTCAACGAACGTGTCGACGTCTTTTGTTTCGATCGAACAGGTCTGGGTTGCCTCCCCCGATTCACTCTCTCTCTTCCCCTGCATCTTCGTCGGAAAACAGGGCTGATCGGCCTGACTTGGGCTCGTCGTCTCAGCTCGAATTAGGCCGGTTCCTTCCATCACCTCAACTCGGGGGGTGTCGAAAATCACCTCTGAAGCGTTGGGCTCGCTCAATTCTTCCCCCACGTCTCTGCCCGATCCATTCTCGTCTCTGCTCTGCCCTGCCGTCGACGCACAGGGGTCTTCTGCTTTGATCGGCTTCGTTGCTTTCTTGACGATCCACGACCACGGTTTCGCCAGTAAATCCCTCTGATAATCCTCCTGTAGTCGTTGCAGCTCCTTCAAGTCGTCAGCAGTTGCTTCTGGAGCCAACGGATTCAAGACAAACACCTTATTTCCACTCCGAATTCTAAACTTCTTGCTCCGACGACTTGCAAAACCAACTTGACGCTCTCTGAACCATGGTTGTCCCAAAATGATGCTGCTGGGAATATTATAGATCACATCACACGTAATTTGATCCTCGTATTGGCCGATCGAAAACTTCACGGCCACCTGGGAAAATACGAGATTTGAACGTTCGTCGTATGGCGATTTAAACGTGTATGGTTTCGTAAGCGGCTGTGTTTGCAGGCCAAGCTTGCTCACAACCCTAGAGGAAATCAAATTCCTCTCCCTGCCTCCATCAACGAGAGCCAAGCACAGCTGCTGCTCGATTAAACAACGCGTGAATACCATCGAACGTGCTAGCTCCTCGAACACCATAGTACTCTGTTTCGTTCTGAATTTTAGTACGAAACTCAGCCTTCAATCCTTCTTGCCGCTGACTTGAACCAGGCTCTGATGCCACTTGATAAAGCACCAGGGGGGTGCTTTTGATCAAAGTAACGCAGCAAACACACTCTCGAACGATAATGATGGAAAAGGTAGAATTTCGCCACAATCAAGGTGATTACTTGATTGATAAGAAAACTCGTAAACCGATTCTGGAATCCTCACAGAAAAGATTAACAAGGGTTCTCGAATTAGCAATGGAATCCTCACAAAACTAACTCAAGGATTTGATTCTTGAGAACTCTCAAAGAACACAATTCTCACAAAGGAGCAATTTTCATTCAACTCTAACTTAGATGATTTACAACGTGAGAATGAAAGCTATTTAAAGACAATAAAATCCTAATACAAACCTAATAGAACTAGGAAACAATTATGGTAAAAACAAACTCTAAAAAGGACTCAAAATTCGGCCATAAACTTCCTTTCTTGGCGCACAAGTAAGCTGTCCGCAAAACAGTCAAAAGGCAGCTTTCGTACTAACTTCGCGCCTTTTGTACGAGGCCTTCCCGAACTCCAATTATTCATCCAATTCCTTCCCTTTGTTCACAAACATACCTAGTTTCATTTTGTGGAAGCCTTTGGACTTGAATCAGATTCATACTCCTAGAATTGAGCTCCAAACTAGGCTTCACAAAACAGTTTTCTGCCTTAGCCATTTTCTGGCAGTTTTCCAGTTTTGAGGTAGCAACTTTGAGGTCTTGGAAAACAACCTTAATGACATTATCTGGATCCAAAAAGCATACCATTGGAAACATGGCAACTTTATCTGCAAAACAAACCCTTGATCTCCAATTTCCATTGAACCATTCGTGAGATACAAGCTTCCAAAGTAGGCTACCTGAAACTGTTTCAACACTTAGCCAAAAATCAGAATTCTTCAAGTGAGTTGAGATGACTTCTTTGGCAAGTAATTTTGAATTGGGGATTGATCCAATTGGGATCATATCACCCATGATGGTTGGAGTGTGTCAATTGCACCCCATTCGCAGCATCCAATTCGAGCAGAGATGCCCCTGAAAGTGCTCGAACACGAGTCAAAAGTGGCCGAATGGGATGGGGAGCCTGGGAGTAATTCGACACAAATTGGCGATGCAGGATCGTTCAAGGAGATGCCAGGAATGTGTAGGAAGATCCAATTTGTTTCGAGGTAGTCCCAATCAAAAATACCCATTTCGGATTTTCTTGGCTGAAATTTTGGAGGAGAAAAGAATCGTTCGATTAGAGAGATTGAGGGTGATTCGAAGCTAGTGGAGGACGTGGGTAAGCTCGCAGAGGTCGAAGGAAGGTGTGTGAGCGAACAATTCGTCTCAGAAACTTCAAGATAAAAACCCCCAATTTGGAATTGGGCTCGCCGGTTTCAGGAATTCCTTCGTCGGATTCTGCAATTTTTAAATCTTCCGACGGCGGGAAACGCGTGGATGTAATGGGCGAAGATTCGCACAATCTCGACGCACGGGAGTAGATGGAATCGATTGCTGGGTTCATGACGAGACAACTGTGGGCAAAGAATTGCCTCGTCGAAATCCCCAAATTTGAAGGCCTCGTCGAAAAATTCGAGTTCGCCGGATTCTGGGATTTTATTGCCGGAATCTGAAAAATTTGAAATTGTGTGTTCTTGGTTTGTTTGAGCAAATTTTTTGTGTGGGTAAGGTCCATTGAAATCTCACGATCGTGATGAAGCTCAAATCATGGAAAACAACAGTAAGATCACAATTCGACGATTATTTGAAGTTCGAAATTGCAAGTTCCGCGTAGCACTTTCGTGACCTGATTTGGGAGGAATTTTGTGACGTTTTTGACAAGAAGAAGCTTCAAGCTTTGAGTTCAAAGCTTTTTGAAGAGGGGGAGCCTGATTTGATCCCCATTGGATCAATTCACAATTACTTGCTAAAGAGGTCAAAGCTAAGTGTTGAAACAGTTTCAGGTAGCCTACTTTGGAAGCTTGTATCTTCCAAATGGCTCAATCAAAATTGGAGATCAATGGCTTGTTTTAAAGATAAAGCTTCCATGTTTCTAATGGTATACTTTTGGGAGACTGAAGACACTACAACAAACAGTACCTTCGGCAACGAAAAAATGAGTCGCTGAAACTCCAAAATCCGTCGCTGAAACAGTCAGCGACGACCAAACTCGTCGCCAAATCCTTCCATCTTCCGTCGCCTATACCGCGTCGCCCTAGCTTTTAGCGACGAAATTTTACGCTTCGTCGCCAAAAACCACCATTCGTCGCTAAAAAGTTAGGCTTCAGCGATGACATTTTCGTCGCTAAACGCTGGATTTGGCGACGTACAATTTTTATCGTCGCACAAGGGTGCCTCACTATTAGATTTAGCGACGAACAATTCGTCGCTAAATAAGTTCTTTGTCGACGAATTTAGTCATCGCTGTACAAGTTCATCAGCGAGTCTTGGGTGACGAATTACATCGTCGCAAAAAATAGCTACCACCTTTTTAGCGACGAAATGATTCGACGCAAAAAACACAGATTTGGTAATTTTGTAATTCCGGCTGTTGTACCTTGTTTCCTTCTCAAACTGCTAATTCACATTTTGTATAAACTAATTCACATCTAAATATAAACACAACTGACGCTTTCTTATAAGAAGAGTAATAATTTAACAAACGTTATTAATAGGAACATCCTTGTACATAAAACCATACATAATAGGTCACTAACCGAACATGTTTCCAACTATAACATTTACAATTTTTGAAAGTAGTATATACACCTAGGAAAACGAAAACAAGAACATTCATTGTTCATGCCCAAGGAATTCTGTGTCTAAAAAGCTAGAATTTACTCTAATATTGTAAGATAACATTCATTTTTTATTCTCAAACTAACCACAATCAACACCACAATCCATGCCAAAATATCCCAGCTGTTGGTCGCTGCTAATCCATGCCAAAGTATCCGAACGGTGGTCATTGCTGGTTCACACCACCTCCTGCTATGATTTGAAACAAGAGGTTCTCAAGATTAGAAAGATGAGGTTAAATGGGAATGTCCAAGCTAACACATAAAAATCAAGAACCAAGTAAAATGCAGCAAGGAAAAGAAGAGAGAAAAGATGAAATGATTTAAATACAGAAGCTCAAAATAAACGTCCAGCAAAGCATTACAGTTCTATAGACAGAACATGTGATTATCTCGTAAGTAAATAAATCAAAGGCAGAAGTGTTGATGGCACAAGCAACCTATGTTTCATTTGTAATTGTATCACCCATCATATCCTTTGGATTTATCTTTTTCACAGTATGCAGCATACGCATTTCAGACATTAAAAGGCACTTGGATACTGGAAAGATATTAATTTAACTTTTCCACTCATCTACAAAAATATATACTATCTACCATCATTTTGTTTTCTCAAAATCCAATCTAAATCTACTTCATTTCCATGGGAGCTTATAAGCTTCTTGTTCTGTGTAGCCTTTGCGTCTTCATATTCCACTTAATTAATGAAAAGAAGCTAGCAATAGTTGCATTCATATGTAATGACATTTTTGTTAACAAACAAGAGCTTACTAGCTTTAGTGTGCTGCTTTATATTTGCTTCAGCAGCTGTCTACTCCTCTCCTACAATCCGCAAACTCCATCTTCAAATCCGTGGCCAGCCCGCTCGTCCCACCACCAAAGGGACAGCGCCCCGGTGGGGGAAGCTCCTGCGAGAATAACCCTGCTACTGCCCTCGCCGCCTCTTGCCTCACCTACACAACCCCATCCATAAACGTGAACGCCTCCGTCCAACAGTCTCTCATGAGCGCCACGTGCCACAACACCCTCACCTCGTCCGCCTCGAGTAGTGATACTCTGCTTGCAGCTCCCACGTCTAGATGTGGCGAGGGAGTGGGCAGGGTGTAGAGGCAGCAGTAAGGAAGGAAAGTGTGGACATGACCATTTTCCTTTGAACCAAATTCGGAAACTATGCTCCTAAGTAGTTGACTGACCACCATGCCTCCTCTGTCTTGGGACAACAATAGGAAGATTATCTAGTATCATGCACACCCATCTCTAAACTGTTAGCATGGTTATATAATGTTCATTTTCTTCCATAAAAGTTATCATATACTGGCAATTAACCCAAGATAAGGATGCTGAAATCAAAAGAGTGTTGCCCGACAAGCTATTTTGCAGGATTGCTCTTCCATAATTTCAAACAGCGGTAGATTTTACAATTTACATAAGACCAAGGTAAACAAGGCCATTAGTTTCATAGTAATAGTTTAATTGATTAGCAACAAATACGATAGAGGATAAGAGCTTACAATATTTTGAAAGTTGTAGTCATAAGGGACTGTTTAGTCATAACTCATAATGTAGCCCTATTGAGAGACACAAAGAAAATTGTAAGAGGCAAATATGGATCACCAGAACAAAAACTAAACAGGGTGAGGGTTAGAGCAACCAATTGCAGAACCTTCTTCCTTTCAATTAAAGCATGGAAGCAAAAAACAAAACTAGAAATAAACGAAGTAAACAATTAGTCAAGGGATGTGGCAGACGAAGGGGAAATCAACAACCAAAAGATCTGCAAAACAAAGGGTTAGCAACCAATTGCAAAATGAAATCAAAATACAAAGGAATGGTTGTCGAGCACTTTGCGCGTCTCTATCGTAAGTGCTCCAATCTCATTGGCTTTCTTCACCCCTTCCTCGCTCTGAATCTGGCACGAAATAAGTAGATCCTCCTCATAATTGCTCAAGCATACTACGCGGATCCCATAACCCGAAGCTCTCACCGCAGTTTGGACCGATTCCCATATCCCTACCAACGAGAAGCGGTTGGACGAGACTACTTTCGCCATTTTGGGGGAATCAATCATCGAGAACAGAATCCCCTGGGAACCTAGATCCATGGTTGTCTTGCTCATTCTCGTCATCCGCCGCCTATACGTGAGTGATTTGGACTCATTGGCCAGTTCGTTGTCGACGGAGCAGGAACAGGAGCATGAGGAGTAGCAGAAGGAGTCGCCAGATGCGAAAAAGAAGTAGCGAAGGAGGAGCCGCCGGTCAACTTGCGGGAGGCGATGCTGGTGGCTAGAGTTCTCCGATCCGCTCTTTAGCAAGATTGGGTCGTGAGATTTTTAGCTAGGGTTGTGGGTTTGGGGGAGAAGGAGAGGTGGGAAACGTTTAAGCTCCCATGGATAAGTCTAAAGAATAAATATCTGACTAATATTATTTTTCTTTTAGTTTTTTTGTGAATTTAGTTTGTAATTTTACATGGGAGATGCAAATGACGTCGTTTAGATCGGTAGAGAAAAATGTAATTATAGATTTTCTTTTTATTTTTACTTGATCCTTTTGCGACAGAGTTGTCGTCGCAATAAAATCCCGGGCTTCAGCGACGCCAATATCCGTCGCCGAATCATGTTAAAACTCCCAAAAAATTTTGCGCTGGCAGTTGCGCTTTTTGCGACGGTATCATCAAAATTCGTCGCAGAAGAGTACTTTCAGTGACGAATTTTACTCCGTCACTGAAATTTTCGTCGCAAAAAGTTCTGTTTTTTGTAGTGAGATGTCATTAAGATTGTTTTTCAATGTCTAAAAGTTGCTACCTCAAAACTGGAAACTGTTTTGTGAAACATACTTTTGAGCTCAATTCAAGGAGCATGGATGGGATTCAAGTCAAAAGGCTTCCACAACATGAAACTTGGTATGTTTTTTAACCAAGGGACGGAATTGGATGAAGAATTGGAGTTCTGGAAGGTCTCGAACAAATGGCACGAAGTTAGTATGAAATCTGTTTTTGGATAGTTTGCATGTGCTAAAAGGCAGCTTGCTTGTGCTTCAAGAAAGGGAGTTTAAACCCGAATTTTGTGTCCTTTTTAGTGTAGACTTTTACCTTAATTGTTTCCTAGTTCTATAAGGTTTGTATTAGGTTTATTTGCCTTTAAATACCTTCTAGTTTTCGTTGTAAAAATATGAGACTTTGATTAATCGAAAAACAAACCTTTTGGTTTTGTGCAAGTTGCGATTTGTTTGACTTTGGTGGATTCCAAGCTTGTGATCTTTGTATCGATTGAATATTCTCTTCAATCGTGGTTGAGTGATGTGATCCAAATCCGAAGAGAACCCTCGAACTCGGATGATATGACCAAAGTACGCAATCTTCCTTCTTTTTAAGGATTTTCGAAGCTTTTCTCCCACTTGAACAACTCGAAATAAAAGGGATAGATATGGAACATGATCAAACAGATTCCAACTCGTGTGAAAGGCCCATTGGTATATGAAACCAATCAAACAATCACCCACTCGTGAATAAGGCCAATCGCTATTTGGTAGATGCTCGACACAACTAGACGCGTTCTCTAGTTGATAAGAGACATGTGAAATTCCTCGAGACTCTCGACAGAAGCTTGCACAAACGTTCACAAAGGAACACGAGTAAAAACTCTTAATTGATAACTTGAATATTGGGTACAAAATTCGTAACTTTTACATCCTCTATTTATAGAGGTCACAAAAACATAAAACTAACCTAAAAAGAATAGGAAAACAAATCTCAAACTAACTAGGAAACATAAAAATAATTTAACAAATAATAAAACTACTAAATAACTCTAAAAACACGTGCAGTCCGTTCCCTTTGCGGAATTGAGAATCCGCACCGCCTTCTTTCCCATAGCAGCCGGATTTCCCTTCTGTCTTCACGTGGCCCTTTTGGAAACACCTTTGTCCATTTTAATCATCATCTTCAATCCATGCAAAACAAACGTCCAAATTAGTTTTCACCAACCAACTGATTAATCCATTATAACTTCCATGCTTAACACCAGATGACAATCCACCTGTAAAGGAAACCACGCCTATTAAGTTGTCGGCAACAGCTATGAGATCCATTTTATCCATCAATAACACTTCCCAATTGATCCTTATATTTTCTTATTCGAACCTTCATCTTTGGACCACGGGAATTAAATATCGTGCTAGTCGATATCTCATCATTCCCTCTCTCTTGAAGAAGATTCGACCTCGAATCTTTGCAGAATCTCGATCCTTGATAAGCGCCACTCATCTTGCCCTTCCAACAAAATTGTATTGTTGAGGATCGTATTATTCCCCCCCCCCCTTCTTAAGAGCAATTCGTCCATGAATTATAGTGACACCATTGTGATGAAAGCCCTCTACATAGTGCGGAATTTCTTGTCGATTCTCCATGCCCGCTCCCTCGTCAGAAATTGTATCACCAATCATAAAATCAATACGAGCAGACTCGGGAACTATTGGTAAATGCTCCATAATTTCCAAGCGTTCATCTTCTCCTTTGAATTCTGATTCCTCAATGTATTGTTTAACTTCTTGTGCAGTCAAATCTGGAACATCAACAAGAATATCTCATTTTACTTCTTCTGCCTCTTCTTCGACATTCTCTTTTGCTTCAAGTTTTGGTTCTTCTCGAGATGAAATCAAAGCTTTTGAATCCTCTTCACAAGTGACTATAGTAAGCTCATCAACAAGAACCTCTTATTTCCCTTTCACGTCTTCTTTGACTTCCTCTTCTACTTTGGCTTGAAACTCTTTCTCCTTCAAATTCTGTTGCATTTGAAGTTCATCCTCATAGATTTCTTTGGGAGATAAAGGCTTTAATACAAACTTCTGACTTCTATGCGACCACTTGTACTTCTTGGTGACTCCATCTTGTTGTCCATTTCGATCAAACTGCCATGGTTCCAAGCAAAACATGAGCCTCTTCCATTGGCACCACATAACAAAGGACTTCATCTTTATAGCTTCCAATCTCAAACTTCAATATGGCTTGCTTGCTTACCTCAATTGATCCATCTTCATTAAGCCATTGAAGAGTGTAGGGTTTCGGATGTTGCAATGTGTTTAACCCCAGTTTCTTCACTGAATATTCACTCACCAGATTAGTGCAACTCTCTCCATCAATCATAACCGATAGTAGCTTACCATCCACTAAGCATCTCGTTTGAAATATATTACCCCTTTGCTAGAGATCCTGCTTTGGATTTGGACTCCCTATCATCAAATGAGCTACGGGTTGGATTACCATCGCTGACGCATTATTCCCCTTTAACCCTTGAAGAGTAACTTCCGTCGTCTTGAGCATTTGCTTCAACATCTCCATCAATCGTTGATTTTGCTCCATTCTTACTTTTCAAGAGCTAACAAAAACCACACAAAAAAAAACACAATTTTATTTTACGTACATCTTTGTGGCTGTATGACAATTTTTTTAACTTTCTACTCGCGTGAATAGTAACAAAAAAAAAACCAAAAATTAAAACACTAACTCTTTTTTTTTCTTTCATGTGAACAATAACAACAAATAGATAAAAACCTCTTTTTTCTATACTACCAACTCACGGAAACTAATGGAAAAGAAAAGCGATTTTTTTTGGCTTTTCAATAATATGTTCACGACAAAAAAAAACGAACAAGTTTACCTCTATTCTTTACGCAAACGAAACTAATTTTTTTCCCCTTCAATCAGACCTTTTTGCCGCTGAGTTCGAACCAGGAATCTTCAAAATTGCCGCTGAGTTTGAACCGGTAATCTTCAAATGGCCACTGAGTTTCAACCAGGCTCCTGATACCACTTAATACAACCCTGGGGGTGTATTTTTACCAAAGTTACGCAGCAATCAATCAATCCGAAGATTGATTGAACTCGAATCAAGAACAACGCGTTCTTAATACGAAATTGGGATAAAACGAAACCAACGGACAATTCCACACCTGGGGAAAGCTCGTATGGTATAAGAGGGTAGATGCTCGACCACGATTGAAGAGAATATTCAATCGATATAAAGCTCACAAGTTTTGAATCCACCAAAATCAAACAAGTCGCAACTTGCACAAAACTAAAGGGATTGTTTTCGATTAATCAAAGTCTTATGTTCTTACAACAAAAAATAGAAGGTATTTAAAGGGAAATGAACCTAATACAAACCTAATCGAACTAGGAAACAAGTAAGATAAAAGTCTACACTAAAAAGGACACAAAATTCGGGTTTAAACTCCCTTTCTTGAAGAACAAGCAAGCTGCCTTTTAGCACAAGCAAACTGTCCAAAAATAGTTTTCGTACTAACTTCGTGCCATTCGTTCGAGACCTTCCAGAACTCTAATTCTTAATCAAATTCCTTCACTTCGCTCACAAACATACCTAGTTTCAATTTGTGGAAGCCTTTTGACTTGAATCCCATCCATGCTCCTTGAATTGAGCTCCAAAGTAGGCTTCACAAAACAGTTTCCAGACTTGAACCATTTTCTGGCAGTTTTCCAGTTTTAAGGTAGCAAATTTGAGGCCTTGGAAAACAACCTTAATGACATCTTCTGTCTCCAAAAAGAAAACCATTAGAAAGATGGCAGCTTTATCTTTAAAACAAGCCCTTGATCTCCAATTTTCATTGAGCCATTTGGAAGATACAAGCTTCCAAAGTAGGCTACCTGAAACTGTTTCAACACTTTGCCTAAAATCAGAATTCTTCTTGTAAGTTGAGATGACTTCTTTGGCAAGTAATTATGAATTGTGGATTGATCCAATTGGGATCATATCAGCCGCCACAGTCGTTCTCAAACCTGAGGGCGTTCAGCGCTCTGAGGGTAAATCTAAAATCGACGCCTTCATCAAGGTCGGAGAAGCGACGGAGAATGAAGGTAGCGAGACTAAGTAAGGAGAACCTTCGGCGACTACTCGGCTGGAGGAGAAGGGTTATTGCATGTCTTCATCTGATTTTTTTCCTCTTATGTGGGTAGATTAATTTTTTTAATTTTTAGTTCAAATTGACTAACTAATTTGGATTCTTATCAAAGGTGAAAATCGAAAAAGAGAACTGGGGTTCTCGTCGGAGGTGGCTATCGGGACGATGGGATTGGGTTTCTGGTTGGAGATGGAAATTGGAATGAGGGTCTTGTCATTGGCTTAAAACAAAGAAAATAAAAAGTAAAAGATGAGTTGCTCGTTTCTTCTTGCGCCTCGATTTGGGGGGTGAGATGGAACAGTGCTTTTGCACCCAGTTTACAAAACCCTGCTCCTGTTCAAAAACATCCAAACGGGTGCATCTTACTCGATAAAACCATTTGCACCCCAAAATTTGCTCCCCTAGCCTTTGCACCTCTTACTAAATGGAGTGTTACCAAAACTATGGCCCTGTGGCATGCTAT